ACCGAGACTCGAATATGGGCCGAGTGTGCTACCATTACACCAGGAAGGCATGCAAAATGGAGGAAGAGAATACCTTATCCCTTTAAAGGGTGGTTGGGGATTAGAGGACCCAGTCATCAAATCCTGGTGGTGAAGAATAATCATCCACCAGCTTTTTAGTCCGGGAACCACTGCAGAGCTATTAGGTTTTTTTTTTTTAACAGGAGACTTGAAAAATAAGCAATGCCCTCGCCGGGACTAGAGCCTGGGCCTCTAGAGTACGCGCCGAATGTGATACCGTTACACCACGAAGGCATGCAGAAAAGAGGGAGAAAATGCCTTATAACGAATGTCTTAAGAAAACTGAAATCTGGCGGATGGTCAACTTCGCGACTTTAAGCAATCTACGTCCATCTTAGAAACGCATTTCAATCTCAAGCTTTCACAATTTTAATTATTCCATCTGATCTCATCTGACCTGATTTTTTTTTGTGTGTTTATGTATATGTATGCGGGAGTGTGTGTTTGTATGGGCAATCTCTCTCTTTGATTCATTTTAACTTGAAAATTTTTGTATTTATCGAGAATATTTCCTGGTTCTAGTGGTATGCACTTGCATCAAAACATTTTAAAACCGTGTTTTAACTAAGAATCATTAGATTTATTTTTCGGAAAGAGCTCCTAACGGAACTCCAGTGTAATAGCTTGCATATTGTTACGAAATGCACAGGCGCGGTAAGTTGGCTTCCCCGCAAAGCAGTTTTAGGGTTGCCATAAAATAGCAAGGATGGCAGGGTTGCCACATTTGGCGACAAAATTGGCGATATATTATGGACGGTTGGAGAACCTTCTGGAACGAATTCTTACCGGTTTAGCCCAGAATGTTCCCGAACACAAGCCGAAAGCGATATAAACCGTGCTGGTCCGCAGTCAGTAGTGTGTGTCTCTCATCGAGAGTGAGTGTGTCTCGTCTAGCGAGTCAATCCCTGCGGAGTCGATCGAGTTGACAGCCGGGCAGCGAGTGCCGAGTGGGTCGTCGAGTCCACCGAAGAAGTCTGTTAGAGCATCGCGGTTAGTGCATCGTCGAGAGAGCGTGTTGAGCTCCGGGAAAGACTGAACCGAAGAGTCAGGAGCTGTGCTCGTGTGTCGTCGAGTGCATCGCGAGTTTAGCGGTGGAGAGTCTCGAGAGTACGTGGAGTTCCGGGAACGACCAAGCAGAGTCGGGAGCTGTACTCCGAAAGCAGAGTCGGGTGCTTTGCAATAAGCTGTCTCCCCGTGAAAGCCTGATACCTGAAGGCTGTGTCGCTGATCGTGTCAGCGTTTTTTATAGTAGATCTTCGACGACTGTAAAACGTGTTTTGGAGCTGTCCTGACAATACTGACAAATAAAGCGTGTTTCGATACTTCATAAAGTGTCGTCGTTATTCACTCCAAATCTACACGAACCTCGTACGAACGTGAAGGAAGAAAATAACGCAACAACTGATGTCAGAACAGAAGAATAGGAAAATAAGGTAACAATATCAACCTATCTCTTCCTTTAGGCATAGTCCTCATGTACCTTCCCATATTTAAGCTACCAAATCAGCTTGGTATGTGTTGACGTTAGCTGGTAACACTTTAAATAGAAAAGCAATTTATATCTTCAGATAATGAAATCATAAAATGCGATTTTATTATCAAATTATATCGAGTTCAAGATGATTTAAATTTCAAGCTAGTAAGCGAATTATCTGGTTAATAGCTAACACACGATTTCATAAAAGGAAAAAGGTTATTTCACTTTCTGAGGGGACTGTGAATTTCGATACTACAGTTTCACAAATGTTCCTTAAGACCTATATGTTGAGTTTGAAAACAGTGGAGCAATAGAAGAGATTATTAAAATTCTTGACTAAAGTTTTGATTTATTTCAGTGTTATTTCCTGCAGCATGTAAATTCCCTCCTTTATTTGCTATTAGAGATCGTCAACACATTTTTATTCAGCATGCTGTAGAACAGGGGTTTTAAACCAGTGGTACACGTACCACTGGTGGTACGCAAGAGAAAAATAGGTGGTATGCAAAGAAGTGAAGTATTTTTAACTGCTAAATTCAAAAATTAAAACTCCAACATCCTGATTGAGTTTTTTCTCTAATACTCATAAATTTATTTGATACTCGTATGAGCTTTGTTCAAGAGTAGTGGGGGTAGTAGTACTTTGTAGTGGTGGTACTACAGGTTTTCAATTTTTTTTAGATGGTACGCGTTAGTCACAAGGTTCAGAACCGCTTCTCTAGAACATTATCACAGCTTGAAAAATTAATGAAACTTCATCTTAAATCTGCCGAGAAACCGTAATAAATCTTCCAGAATAGAAGGTGATTCTAAAAAATTTGTTGCCAAAGCTCAAGCTAATCACTTGATTTCAAAGTTCTCTTTCTTTTAAATTGTTTATTCAGTTACATTTTAAGCACTGTAAGCAAAACGTTGCTTAATACGCTTGATGTTACATAAAGTTTAGATCTTTTTATGAAGGTTTTGAAGACTCTAAGAGCTTATCAAGGTTTTAAAATACATGACTAAAGGCCCGTCTACACCAAGCGATTTTCTCGGCCGACTTTCTCGTAGAGCAACAATTTTAAGGATCTGCACATGCGCCAAAAATCGGTCATGTTTTCTGCCGCGTTTTCAGAACTGGTGTTCACAGACTCGTAGCAAAGCCAACTAGATATCTAGTTGGTAGAGCGCGGGAACACTTCCTTTCATAGTGATTGGCTGAGTGAATTCCTGTACTAACGAGAAAATCGTTCCGTGTGGACAGGCGAGCTATCTCAGATATTGTCGGCCGAGAAAATCGTTACGTGTAGATGGGCCTTAATTCTGTAACAAAGAAATCACAATATCTTTTCTGTTTTACCAATACTTCGAAGACTATCAAGCATTAGATTAATCTAAAAGTGGTTTTGAAAGTTTTAAAATATAGTTTTATACATGGTTAAGATGTTGCCGTAGCGTCAGTTATGGAAAGACCTGTACAACTGATATAGTAAAATGAAGATTTTAAATTTAGCCACAGTATAAACAAATTAAAGAATGGGATGGTAACGATTTATTACAACACTGCAGAGATTTACTATTAAAACTGAGCTGCAATAAACATTTTGGATATTCTTGAAACAGATTTTGGAACAGTCTTGAAACATGCAATATGTTGAAGGTGGGATATTATTTGAAAAATTTGCAACATTTTTCAGTACATTTCATTAAAACACATGCAAATATTTTTTAAATAATATACATTCTCACGATATTTTATAATATATGTATCAAAATAAATTAACAGATACGCTTCAAAATACTGCAATGGTATTGCTTATTTATTTTCATTGCTTTAGCTAAAGTAGAAAGGAGTTTTCAAAATTAAGTATAATAAGAAGTTATTTGAGATAAATAAAGTCTGAAGAATGCCTATTGATTTGTTAATCAGATTAGGGATATTTTAGATATAAAAGATCTGATTAATAACTTTGTAGCAACTAAAAGCTAAGAGACTAAAAATTTAGCGAGTAATTAATAGTATATCATTGTAAGCAAGCCAAAATTATATGCAGTAATTGAGAAATGTTTCTAATTTTTTTTATGTATAAATGTATAGCTATAGCTTACCGTTTTAGGCTTTTCTTCAAATTTGGAGACCAATATTTTTCTCCGTTAGTTTTCCATCTTTCTCAAGCATGGGGGAATATTATTCGCGCCAGCGAGATCATTCTCATATTCTTCAACGATTGAGTTATAAAATACCAGTCATCAATGGTGTTTTCTGGTCTACTTACTATAAAATATTACTATACTATTTATTATAATTGTATTATACGTAGCATATATGTAGTATATAATAAAAATAGTGAGCTTGTAGTATACAATATTATACTTTTTTATATAGAATAATATATGAGTTTATCTTTCGGAGCGCAACATGTCACATGGAGCGATAGCTATGTAGTACGGAAATTAATCCATTTGCAATATCTCTTTATAGTTTCAAAGGAAGGCAGCTTTCATCCTGTATATTCAAACCTCGTGTATTTTTACACGGAAAAAATATGCCGAAACTTTTTCCGATTTACGTTTGATGTGACAACCACACTTTCTGAAGTAATTAAAAAGGTTTATTTCCCCTCTTCATAACACTGAGCGTTGACGATATAATGTCGTAATAATAGTAATGATGATAAAGAAGAACAAAGAAAGTAGACTGAAAAGTAAGATAAGAGAATTGTTATACATGGAAGACATCAGGGACAGATTTAAACTTGATGAGGCCCTAAGCTATATGAGATATGTCTGCTATAGTACATTTTAATACTATATTTTAATTTTGGGAGCCTCCAAGAAAGTGGGGGACCCTAAGCTATAGCTTGTTTAGCTTGTATTTAAATCCTGCCCTGGGAGCCATAATCATCGCATTTCCTACATTGCGCTCTTACCGCCATTTTGATCGTGTATGCCTATGCTTAAGGTCTTAGCGAAAATATAATTTTAAATGAACAAAACCAGAGGCGTCTAGGGTTTTCAGCTCCCGGGTACAACTGAAGATTTTGCGCCCCTTTCTCTGTTCTAGGAACGGAAAACATTTCATTCTAAATTTAATAACATCAATTTGGCGCCCCTGATGCTGCGCCCCGGGACAGATGTCCCCCTGCCCCACCCTAGCTACGCCACTGAACAAAACCTTTTTTTTTTTTTTTTTTTTTTTTTTTTTTTTGAAATATGAATTCGTTTTCCGGATTTGGATTTTCGAGAAATCGTTTATGTATGCAGAATACTATAAGTAAACATTTTCCCTTAGGGGTATTCGAAATTTAAGAAATTTGGTATCTTATTGCCCAACATTTTGCCATAATTTCTCGAAGAACAAGAACACGGAGTGTACTTTGTGAACGAGGCGATAGTAGACAATGCAAAAATACGAATTAACAATAAAATTATAGGTAATAGTTTAAAATATAAACAAAACGCAAAGTATTTCAATGTATAACTTTGCTAATAGGTATTTTAAAAATTTTAAACGAATATAAAATATTTTTCTTTCTTTCAAAATTTACAATGTCTAGGGTGGAATCATTGAAAATAGCTGTCTGTTGTTTTAGTTTGAGTGTTGTCATGTGAGTGCGAAGAGAGAAATGTAAAGAGATTAATTTGTTACTGAAGATGATAAAGTTGTTATATTCGCTGGTATTTATGCTTTGCTTGTCTGTTTCAAATGCTGTAAGTTATTCTTGCTTTTCTATAGTATTTATTTCGATTTAATTTTTCTGATGACAGTATTTGTTATCTGTTTTGCTCCTGTGTATAATTTCATTTTCGTTCTCTTTAAGGAGTTTGACTGCCGCATTAGCTTGCCTTGCAACAATACTAGTTTAAATGACAGCAAAGTCGAAGATTATTGTGAATCGATCGTTCATAAAAATATGACTGGGAGATGTTGTATTTCTAATGAAACTGTTATAGGGTATACTTTTTTTATTATTATTATTATTTTAAATTACGAAATAGTATAAAAATATTTTTTGTAAATGAAATAATTTGCTTTTGCACAATCCAAAAGATTATCAGTTATTGCAGCATCTAGATCAATCTATGGATAATATTTCTTTTAATTATTAATATATTTTTAATTTTCCTTTTCTTTCTTAAAATGTTAAGCTTATAATAAATTAGTTATTAGATATATTTTAGTGCTTCTCATTATAATGTTTATGAATCTGTAATAACACCAGTACGAAGCAATAGCAAATACAGAAGAACCTCCTTTGGTGACTACCTCTAAAAGTAGTTAGTGCAGTCAACTCCTTACATACTGGGATTCATGTCCACTGGTAACTCAAAATCATGCTCAAGCCAACCATAGTTAAAAGCACAGGAAAGAGAAATTACTGTTGTTGTAATTAACAGAAAAATACCATTAATGACTTTGTTATGTAAAGTACATTTTGTTATATAAATTAAAGACATTATCAAAACTAAAAAAACATTTTTTCAGTAATGGCAGAATCATTAGAAATGAAAAAAAAAAAAAACTATGTTATGAATGACATTAAAAAACAATGTTACAAAAAATCTGTGAATACTAGCATTTTTTTTTTTTTTTTTTTTTTTTTTTTAAACAGTTTTGTCCTTTTCTAATAGTTTATGACAGTAATGTAGGTTTTCCACTATGTGTGGCAGTTTTATAATTTTCCTGATACTCTTCTATGAAAGCCCTATTGTGCATTTTTGTCATCATATTGATATATGTAATAATAAAGTAGACCATTCTGGTTTATTTCTTTCCCTATGCATTTGACTTGATACTGGACAAAGCAGAATGATTGAGATCCGCAACAAAGAATTCTTTCTAATTTCACCAAAAAAATCCTCTAAACGTCCATTGTTTGGAAAGAGCAAGGCTTTGTTTCATCCATCCATTTTAACATTAGGATGAAATAACAGGGAACTGGCATATATCTGTTTTATGTAATTATTCCAGTCATCCATTGTATTGTGATTCATTTAGTTTTGATTCATAAGAATCAGTTGACATTAACTAAAAAAAGAATTTTATGGCAGTAACAAAATAAGTGTCTGATCCACCAAACCACTTTTATGTAAGGACAGCTTTCTCTTCTGGGTATAAGTGATAGCTGCAAACCCATTTTCGCATTTTAATTTAATGATGATGATGTATGAACGCAATTTTCCTTTTTGAACAAAAATGTTTTCTTGAAGAAACAGGGTAGATACTTCTTCATCTCTCAGCAAATTCCAAGTCATAGAATCCATAGCATTAATAATAAATTAGGTGAAAAATGTGATGTCATGTGAACATTGAGTATAAGAATATTTATCACTAGGAAAGAAGCCAAACTAACTTATGAAATTTGGTATCAAGGAAGCGTGCTAAAATAAAACAAAAAAAGGGCACTCTGGTATGATTTAGCAGAAAAGTGCCATTTTTCATTCACAATAACCAAACGTTTTTTAAATTCAGTGTGCAGTTAGTTAATCTGGCCAGTGTAAATTGGATGGGTACTTTTCCGTTTTGCTGGCACAAATGATAAAGTCGCCAATAATGGTACAACTGATGCCAAACGGAATATCTCCACTGGTAAGATTTTACACTTCATTTTCAAAACAAGTTGCAGCCATGTCTTATCAGATTGCTTGTTTCTTACAATACTGCATACAATTACATAGAATTTTAAAATAATTGTAAATTATGCCCTAAGACCATTCGCGTAATTAAGGTCTTAGGATTCCATCACAACTGCTCACCGAGCGAAAATATAGAAAGAAAATCAGGGTTAAATTCATCAATTCTAATGAGAATGCCTAGCGAAGTAAGCACTGTGGTTTTATATAATTTCTGAGTAAGCTATTTGTACGAATTGAACTAATTCTTGAATTTAAACTAGTATTCAAAATTAAGATTTAACTGAAAATTAATGTAGATAATTACTAAGAGAATTAGATTTTTGTAGCGTAGTTTAGGTGAGATGACAGTCACGGGATAAGAACCTGCGAATCAGAATGTTGAACCATGAAAGCATAGTAAATTCTTAAATTAATGTCCTTTTACAAATTTATTACTTTATTTATTGGCTTTTTAGAAAATTTTAAACCATATTAAAATGTTTATGCCTTCAAAATAAAAAATTCTTAGAATTAACATTTGTTAACACTTTTATGTGTATACTGTATGCTGTCGCCAGCAAGTGTGCTTGACGAGATTTGCGCCGGCGAAACGGAAAAGTACCATTGGATGTTTTAATATATTTTTGGGATTATAAACTATCATCAGTATTACACATCAGCAATAACCATATTCTTTAAAACAATCATCTTCATTGAAGACCACTGTCATTTGGAACTGTTGGTAGTCATCTGCAGGAGGTTTCACTGTAATTGCAATTATTATTATTATCCTGTTTTTGGAAAGTTTATCTTTAATGTGTTGTGAAGTATTAAAGCTTCACTGACATACGTTTTAGTGGTAATATCTAAAGCAGGAGGCATATATTTAAAAAATAATATGATTGGAGGAAAATGAAATTAATATTAAAAATTAAACTGCGTTAAAGGGAAAATATGTAGTGTTAGTTTATAGTTATTTAATATACTAATGTAGTTACAGTAGAGCATATATATATGTGTGTATACGAGATCTTGTCATCAATTTTTAATATTAAAACCTCAGTAAAAGCATCAGATGCTTCTTTACTGCACTCCAATCAATATTAAATAATGATTTAAAAAACACTTTGTAACGCGAACTCAGAGTTAAAGATTATACACTTTTATAGTAATATGTCTCCAGCAATTTCCTTAACAGCTCAGGTATATTAAAAAGAGTGCCCTTTTTCCGGGCTATAAAAATCTGAAAAAAAGAAATTAAGTATTGCTGCAGATAAATATTCATATTTTTTAACTCCTTTATAATAATAGAATTAATTAGAAATTTATTTCGATAATAATACCATTTACATTTTATGCTAAGTTTTACTTTATATGCGTAATATTATGCTTTTATCTGGGGCTGTATTGCCTTAAAAGGACTGTAACTGTAACTGTTCAAAACATGCTTTCGCTTTGTAGATCCTTTGGTAGCTCAAGAATCGGAAATTCTTTTTGACAGAATAGAAAGTTCAAGCTTACTTTTATAAAATTGCTCTAACAGTCTGCAAAAACTGTAACTCTAAAGGACTGTAGCTGTAACTGTAATCGAAACATGCTTTCACTTTGTAGATCCTTTGGTAGCTCCAGAAACAGAAATTCTTTTTGACATAATCAAAAGTTCAAGCTTACTTTTATAAAATTGCTCTAACAGTCTGAAAAAAATAATAAGCCAGATCCAGTTAGAAGATTAAGGAACAACGCAATCTGCAACATTAACTGAAATAGGTAATTAGATAATTTTAGCTTAGCTTATACCCTCCGTTATACATGAAACGTACATGCGTAGATGCATATACACATGCATAGATGCATGTACACATGCGTAAAGGTATTATGCGCATGCATTAGCGCATTATCCGTTGATGCATGCGCAGAAAGTTTGTAGCTTTGAGGTCCGGATTATGGATCATTCCGAATTATGGACGTCTGTATTAAAGACTTTTGACTGTAGTTAGAGTAAGGATAAGGATTTTTTTTAATATTTTTTTGGAAACAACATGTTTGTATTGTTGTTATTTTATACCAAAAAGCCATTACGTTATGACCACCCTCTTAGTAACACATAGGACCACCTTTAGCCATCAAAACTGCCAGCACTGTAACTCCACAAAGTGCTGACAGGTAGTCTGAGGTATCTGGTACCAAGGGCTCACCAACTAGTCCTACAATTCCCGTACATTGTGAGGGGGGTAGCGTGGCAGCACGAATTTGGTTTTCCATGTAGGACCACAAATCTTCTATTGGATAACCTCTCTGTCAGGTGACATGACTTGAAAGTCACTGGAATGTTCCTTAAACCACGTCCTGATGATTCGACCCTTATGACATGGTACATTATCACGTTGGGGAAAACCATCTCTCACCAGAAATATTGTTGTCATGAATGGATGAATCTGGTCTGCAACAATGTTCACATAGCACACAGACTTCAGAGATTGTTTTATGGGTCCTAATGTGCTTCATGAAAGCATTGCCCACACCATAACAGCCCCCCTACCACACACACAGTGGCTTGTCTCCGTCCAACTGTGCATCCGGGAGACAAGACGGTTATTCTACGCTACGAGAGTCGACAGCAAGTTGTGGGCTGCCAGATGTCGCTGCTAGTGAAAAACAAGTCTGCCTGACATCCTATATTCTCTGAGTATGGAAGTTGTCGAAAGCGCTGGAATCAATGCGCCATTGACGACACACTGCTGCCCAACGACTTGTTTCACTATCCATATGCCACTTTATATATATGCTCACAACAGCTGCATGTGAACAGCCCAATAAGCATGCCGTTTGTGATATTTTGCCAAGCCAAAATGATTTGACCTTTATTGAAATCTGATAAATCAGCTGCTTTTCTCATTATATCGTTACTCGCGCTATGTTTGCAAAGACAAGAAAACTAGAGTACGGCCCCTGTCCCAGAAGGATCACATCATCCCATTCAAGGTTTAAGAGAGCTGCAACTCCAGAACCAATCCGAGAGGGTGCCATCCCTCCCAGTCACTGCAGAGGGGAAACTTCCCTTGACAATTTAATTGAAAATTATTTCTTTGGAGAAAAGTCCGACAGGCGACCATCACGTAGAGATCCACAGGGCTGATCTCAACTCCAACTACTCAAACGTTAACATCAGAGACAATTCCCAAGTGAGGGGTCACCACTCTCTCCCGCGGTACTAAAACTTCGACATTAAAAAACTCAGAGTTCGTCCTTCCCTCCACACTGACCGAGAGGAAGCCAACCCCTCTGAGACGGCCATCGAAATCTGACCATGTAACGTCCTCACCACCAAGGACACAGACAAGGCAATAGGTAGGTAGGTAGGTTACGAAGTACTGGAACACCTGGTGTCTAACAGAGGTAAACAGGCATGTGTTCCATGCCCTCCTCTATCTACAGCAAAAGCTCCCTGAAGCCACACGAGGCTGTACCATGAGATTATTGAGGTTGTCAAAGGGAAGTACATGGCCTTACAAAGGCATTATTAGGATTGTATTACAGATTGAAGAGGCAAGCTGTGGTGTTACAGATAGTAGGTAGTTAAACTAAAAATACTTGTACAATAAGATGTACATATAAAAATGACATAAAAACACATAGGCAAACAATACACAAAACATAATGCATAAAATGCATAAACAGAGAGCACATAAAACAGGTACATACACATAGTCACTTAAGGCACAAAAAGACAAATGGAGAATATGATGTCACATGAAAGCTGGAGCACAAGGTTAGTGTAGGGCAGTTCTGTTGTATATAAATACAGGTACATCTTGAATGATGAATGATGAGTTCATGAATATTCATGTGTGCAGAAGAGTGCAGTTAGATTGCTAAGGCATTGATTGTTGTAGCGTCGCTAAAGAGATAGATAAAAAAACATTGATAAAAAAGCATGAGGATGTTGTAGCACTAATTATTGGGCAGTGCCCCAGCAATTAGTGCACCATGAGGCACACAAGCGTTCACTAACACTCATAAGAAGATGCTTATTCACATGCTGTTTAAGGGATTATACATATATCATTAAGGAGGCATAACACATCTCACTAAGGAGATGTCATGTATTTGCAAATTGTTAGTATTGCCACTTTAGATTGGTGGGCATGGGAGCTTAAACACACAGTTGTGGTGAAGCCCAGATATTGTAAAATCCATTGAACTAGTCATAGAGCTTATCGTCAGTACACCAGAGTGTCATTTTAGCACAGTAGGCAAAGGTCTGTGCCCAATGCCGTGATGGTATTCATGATGCTGGAGATCTAATTAACCACTCCTTTATGTGTTATAAAGAACCAGTGATAGGTGTTCCTATTATTTGTAGATAGTGGGAGATGGTGTGCAGCCGTCAAAGGACTTTCAAATACATAATGGTCTGGTGACCCTTCTGATCCACAGACACAGATATCGGTGTCTGAGATGCCATGGCGATTGTAATAGCTTGGAAACAGGCCATGACCGGTGATGAAGTACGTAAGAGATGCTGCGGCAAAGAGTCGGGAGGTAGGTGAAAGTCCGTCTGCCTGTCTCACATTTGGTCCACTCACATTACCATTGGTGCATGCTCTCGTAGGAGGCCCTTTAGATAAGAGGAGGGTGCAGGTACGGTGATGGGGTTGGGCTGTCGGGTCGGAAATTGCATCTTTGGCCAACGTGTCAGCAGCCTCGTTGCCCTCATTATTCGCATGGGCTTTAACCCAGATTAGATTGAGATGGTAATGAGGGTGTTGCATAAGGAGATATTGGAGACTGAGTATGAGCGGTGAGACATGATGATGGTTCTCAAGTGCAAGTAAAGTTGAAAGGCTATCGATATAGGTATTTGCTCGTGGGATCTGGTAATCTATTAGATGTTCCACTGCTGTGTCGAGGTGTGAGTCTGTTGCTTGTCAATTTTGATGTGGATTCCACTTCCTCTGAGAGCTGGATGAGTATGAATAGAAGTGGAGGGACATTCGAACTGGACTGGACTGGTATTTGCGAAAGTTGCATCTTTGCATAGGTGGCAGTAGCAGTATGGTCCCTGCCAAACCTGAACCTACCACCGAATAAACAATGGTTCTAATCTATGTAAAGACTGATTATTTGCTCTGCAGGCCGGAGCTGTCTAGACCCAAATCTCCAAGTCTAGCCAGTGATCTGGAATAACCCGGATCTCCTCTCATAAATGGTTAGTTCCGGAAATTCTGCCCAGCCGACCACAGAGTTAGTTGTCCAGCATCGTTAGCATATGCCAGCCAGCCTATATCTAGCCTTTGCCAGCATAGTTTCCAGCGGGTACCACGAATAGGTCGATGCTGAACTGAGGGAGATGTGGCAAACCACCTCCATTCAGCACCCGCACCCTTAGATCAAACTCTGGGTCTCCTACCGCCAGCAGTCGGTTCTGGAAATTTGTCCTCAGGTACGGACACTGCTGGATAGCCACTTTATATACTCCAAAATTAGCCACATACATGCAGTGGTTTTGTTCCTGGGTGAACCCATTGTTATAGAGGGAGGGTAGTCGTTATGTAATTGTGCTTTGGTGTATATTGTATTGTATATTTTTACATTCACGTTTCATGAGTATGGCAAAATTATAGCTGAGATCTTGGTGCAAATATAAAATCACCAAATTTGGTTGGGGGCCACTTTAACAAAGAAGTACCACAAATTTTCTCACTTTTTACTAACTTTTCCTGATCTGGTTTTTGTACAATGCCATTTTTAGTCAAAACTATTATTAACCTTGTCAAACTATTTTAATTTTATGTAATAATTTCTTAAATAATTATTTCTTAAATAATTTTTATCAGTTTTAGTTTCAGAAAATTTCGTACATTAACAGTGCATATGGGAAATTGTCAGTAATATTCATAACACTATAGACGAATTTGGATATACAGTCAAAAGTTGTTAATCTGGACTCGTCGGGACTTCGGCGATTCCGGATTATAGATTTTTCCGGATTATAGAGCTTCAGTTTAAATCTGGTAAGATGGCATGCAGAAATTATAAAATTAAAAATATGAAAACGTAATTTATGAAATAAAGAACAATTATGATCTAAAGGGTATCAAAATTTACAAAAAAAAAAGCTTAATATTTATTTGTTTACTTTATTAAACATTTCTTTCAATGTAAGTTGTTTGCTTCATTTTATGTGATAAACTTTCTCTTAATTCTATAAACAGACATAATTTCTTGTTCAGTTACAGAGTTCCGCTGTTCAAGTCCTATAATTGCTGTGTCGAGAATACCGGCTAATTTGTCAATCGAAATTTTTTCGTTTTCAATAACTTCTGTGTCACTTTCTTCACTATCGGAAGCAAATTATAATGATGAGGAATTGATTTTTAATCATATCAAAGACGGAATACATCGAGATGAAATACTACATTTAGTAAGGAATTATAAGCCAAAAAATGAAAACTCTGCCCGAAATGAGGATATGCTGACAGATCTTTCCAATTATTATGCGCGCTGCGGCGTTGAAATTATATAGAATACTATATCTGCCCTGAAGGTACGGATGTCTGAGAGATCAACTTCCAATTCATTGCGTCCGTTCCCCCCCCCCCCCACCAAGAGCACGTGAATTGATAAACAGATTTTGGAATGGTTAGTCTTTTTTGCAGCAATTCACTTTTGTTTAATGGACTTTGAAACTACTTTCACTTTGGTAGATCTTTACATATTGGTAAATATATATCAGAAATTCTATTTGACATAATCGAAAGTTCAAGCTTACTTTTATAAATTGCTCTAACAGTCTGAAAAAAAATAAGCCGGATCCAATTCGAAGATTAAGGAACACTGAAACTTAACTTTAGTAAGCTTAGCTTACCGTCCGTTATAACATTAAAGCGCATGCGTAAACGTATTTTGTGCACACCTATTCACAGCAGTAAAGGTCTTACGCGCATGCGTAGAAAGTTTGTAGCTTTGAGGTCCGGATTATGGGTGTCCGAATTAACGACTTTTGACTGTATTTAAATTTCTATTGAAATTATATGAGCATTGCTTGAAGACTAGTATGCAGTCTGTTAGACGGGTTATTTTTGTTGTTACATGACTACTATTCCTTTGACAAAACAATTAAAAAATAATTTGCTGAAACATACACAAAAGCATTTACCTATCAAAGTATACTATAGGTTTTTATTATTTAGGTCCACTAACCCACATTGTTCTTATGCACAACACAGATCTTTCTTTACTTTCCCCCCCCCAAGAGATGAACTATAAACATATATATAAATGAATACATATTTGCTTTTTTCTCTCTAATAATTGTAACTTTTCTGTGAGATTAAAGTACACATAAAAATAAAATATACCATAGTTAAGTTATGTATCTTAATTTTCAATTTGTGTCACCCTTCTGCACATGTTGTCCTTAAAAGGCTTGAATTAGTTAACATGTAAGGGAGGCACTGACTAGAATTATACTTTGTCTAATTTACAAAGGGTGCATCATGCAAATCCTATTTATGTTGTGAGCCAAGGTATTTTTATAGCATTTAATGTTTTTGATTTAACCATGCTGTATTTAGGATAAATATGTTTAACATTTCATAAATAAAAAAAAAAAAAATTTTTATCTAAACAAATAGTTTTTAATATATTTATTGTTTTTAAAGTGATTATTTAATCTTATATTTTCTAGGCTTGATCTTAGGGACTGTGAAAAAAAAATTGAATATTTCAAGTTTGCACTTTTCAGAGCTTGTTATCTTGTAAGTTTATATGTATTTAAAAAAAATTTTTTTTACCATATAAAAATTTTATAAGCTCTTAGAATACAGTTATTATATATAAAAAAATTATGGTTTCACAAAAATAAAAAAATCTGGTATTTTTTATTTACATCAGATTTTTAAAATTTGATTTTACATTAATGTATTAAATGGTTACCATTCATTGAAGGTTTTCAAAGTAATTAAATCTCTAATTAGGTGTTACTAAGAAGTGTAATGCATATTTTTACATGAAAATTAATGTAACAAGACTATGTAAATTATGCATAATTTTATTTATTATTAAGTTCACTGACTAAAAAGGAGATCTTTGTCAAAATGAACAGTTCTTTTGTTTTTAAGTGATTAACTTATTATTATGTTATATGTATTATCTTTTTGATTTATGCTGCATTATCATATCTTTTTGGAAAAGCTACCAATAATAAAATATTGTGGTAGCTTTTTGGCATCAGTAGCTTGCAAAGTAAAGTCACTTTCATCTGTAAACTTAAATACACATATATACAGTAAATAAGCCAAAAAGAGAAAATCCTATTGTAGTTATATCTTTTAAATAAATACAAACAAATAGTCAGAGTAAGTATAACCATAGGAATGACACTACAAGGTATCTACATAAATTTATCAACACAGTTTATCACATTATACCTCCATTACTGTCATATGCATTGAGTACTTTAACAAAAAATAAAAAAAAAATAAATAAATAAAAATAAAATCTGAAGGATATCAGTTTTTATATCATGCCTAAAAGGGCATTTTTTTCATTTGCAGAAACATAACATGTTTTGAGAGCATTTGGGCTGCCACATTGTGCTAAAAATATTTAATAATAGCATACCTTTAGGATTTGCAATAGGCAGTCTTGCTTGCTGGAGATAAAAGTGTTTTATTCCCTGCAGTGTTATCACTGCTTGCTTTGAAATTTTTGATTTTTTAATGAAAAATTCATTAAAGTTTTACAAACTGTGAATTAGACAATAAAAGAAATTCAGGCTTCCAGGTGCCTATATTCGAGTGGAGGACTATGTTATTCAAAACTTGGTGACTGTAGGCACCACTGTTTTTTTTTTTTTTTTCCAGAGTGCAAGAAACATACATACATTCATGTAGATTCTTCATTATTTAGCTTCTGTAAATATAATACAGGGCAATAATTTTTGGTGCCAATAATCGGAAAAGTGATTTAGACATTTAAAGTGATTTGACACAAAATGCTGTTTTGAGACTAATAGGCCTTCTAGATTAATGTCCTTTGGAACTAAAAAAAAAAAAATTGCCTTTTCAATGCCTAATTTCTCAATTTATATACCATTCCAAAAGTTGCAAACATTCTTTCATCCCCTGCTGACAAAGCTTCTACAGCACTTAATATTTAAATGATTTCCAATTCTTTCACAAGAGCTGTTGATTTCTGCCGCACAAGTGAGATCATTAATTTGACTGCCTTATTTTCAAAAGTGTTCTGTAGAATGTCGGAGTATAAATTATAAATTTAAATATATGTTGAACAAAGCAGTGTCTGCATATTTTAATTTCATTGTTATTTACTACTTTAAATGCTTGTTAATTTTCACATGCTAAAAAATAATGCTTTAGCTTTATATTTTGATGATTAAATATTAGTTATGTGCTAATGGTAGTGCATGTTCATGTCACATTTAAATAATGTTATGCATGGTTTATTAAGATTTTTTAAGCTATGTTTAGGCTTTCTCCAAACTTTAACAACTTTAGCAGTGCTGAGATATCTATCTGGATTTTATCCAGAGTGACTTTGAAACTGGCTTCAAATGAAGTAAGAGGTCTTCTGCATTTCGTTTGGATTTCACATTAAGACCTTTTTCTCTGAACTGTCATGTTCATTGCATCTCAATTCTCTTCTCAAAATTGCATGAAAATTGACAAGTTCTTTACACAGTTTTTAAGAGTACTGAATTCCAGCATGCTTCAAATGGTATGTTGAAACAAATTCTACTGTATTCATTAAATATAGTTCATGCAACCTGGTCATTTTGAAAATATATTATGATTCATATAACATGCTCTGTAACATATGAAATTTTTAAATTCTTGGTTCATTAATAATGTTTACGTGTTGAACAACCATAAGATGTAAGCTAAACATTTTTTTTCTACTTTTTTTTTTCATTTTTGCCGTATTTGATGCACTATTGATTACAAAACTAGATATGTTACATTTAAATTTTTTAAAAACTTTTTTAATACCATCAGCAGTAAGGGTAAGTAAATTTTCCCTTACATGTACTGTTAATGGTGTATTCGTAGTTTAATCTAAATGTACAGCTCCATCGATTGTAAAAGCATATATGCTGATTGTTGGTTGGTTGTGGTATTAGACCAGCCTTCTAACACCACACGTACTGTTTCATAAACTATAGTGTTTCTGCATTGGTGTATTTGTTTTTCATGTATATCATCAAAAATTTTTTGGCTTAAAAATGTATTATTTTGAGACAGTTATATAGTAAGCAGAACTGCACATTTAAAGGATTATGCTTTGGGTCATTGTCTTTTAAGAGTTTGAATCTGTGCAGAGTTTGAAAAAGTTTTGTAGGTCAAGAAATCCAGATAAACTATCAGTCATGTCATCAATAAACTCCAGATTATCAACTACACAAAAAGGGGTAGATATTCTCGTATTGTAACACCTTTGCACCATGTTTATTATTATAACCAAATTATGTTTCTGAAAATTTCTTTTGATTGTCCCCTGCCCCATTATTCAACCACCCAGACTAAAAATTTTTAATTTGCTTTTATTAGGAAATGTAAATCTACTGCAATATTCAAATTATTATTTTTCATAGATTTCATGTTAAAAAAAGCCTTTTTTTTCTGCTCTTTTTCAATAATATCTTATGTTTATATGTTGTATGCCATGTCCCCATTGATTCAAAAAATTTCTCTTTTAGCAGTCTTTAAATTAACAAATATTTCATGTGATTCATAATATTCTGTCTTGGATTAAGAGCTCTTGCTCATTGAATCTAAGACCGAACTCATTTGTCAGAGCACTTCGAGAATTTTTCATTACTTTTAACAATAACATGTGTATTCTACAGGATGGCTTTATATTTCAATAATTTATCTAAGAGATTTTTATTTTTCAAATACAAATTAATCTACCAATTTCTAATGTCTATCTTGATAAAGCTCTCTTCCCCCCTCTCCCTAAAAATCACTGAAAGCATAAATTCTTAAAAAATATGGTATTATTTAAACATTTTTTTAAAATAATGTCCATTAATCTGAAGTAGTATCATAAATAGAGTATTGTATTAATTACAGATGATTTTATTTACATTCTCATAAAATACCCCTAGACTTTTGTAACATAAATTTCCTTCTTTTAACAGAATGTATTAATTTTAATTCATTCTTTTGCTTTTAGAAAAGATATTTAGGTTAAAAAGGAAACACTAAATCAGCACATATATCTCTTGTAATTTCAGTTTTATGCATTTAAAATATTTGTTCTCTTTTATGACATATTGTAAGATGTCTGTGTTAATTAAGATATTCAGTCGTGTGAAATGTATGTATGTTATGGATGATATGTTTGAATGTCATACAGCTTTCTTTTGTTTTATAAGACTTAGTACAATAAATTTTACCCATTAAAAAAATTAAATACAAAAATGCAAATTGGTTAAATACAAAAAAAATTCAAAGATGCTATTAAGTACATAGAACAAATAATTAAAATAATATTGCAAAGGAAAATGATTAGACAATAATAAAATTTTGCCATCAGAATATATTTATCATTTAGCAAAAAGAATTATTCTGTACTCTAATATAACTGCTTAACTTCAATGGTTACTGATATAATTTATAATGTTTCTGTGGGTTCATTGTAAAATTGTATCATTGCGTATCTTTCATATACATAGAATTCTGCATATGGTTTTTAAATATTTTCACTTCCTCTTATACTACTAATGAAGTATTAAAATCAATCATGTTCTAATAGAAGTTAGTTTGTGTAAAATTATGTTAGGAGATCAGAAACAGTTAATTATATTTTTCTTATTACCTAATTAATTTCTGATTACCTAATTTTCTAATATAGACTTAAATATTTCTGAGCATCTAATTGCACAGAAAATAAAATTTATATATCTAATTTTTTTTTTTAACTCTGTTTTTAATTTTTTTTTTTTTTTTTTTTTTTTTTAAATTTGCGAGATAAGGAGTTAAAAGTTACAAGTGAAGATTTTGTTGGACTGCTTAAATTAGAATTTTTGTAAGTGAAAGTTTTGTATCTTCACTGCAATGTGTAATTTTAGTAATTTTAATTAATATTTTTTGATCTTTCTATAAGTAAAATAAAATATTTATTTAATTTGTGTAAATAATTCGTTTAATTTGTTACCTGTATAACACAATTTTTTTATTGCCATATACCATATATATTCTCAAACTTTTAAAATTTTGTACCACATAAATATGAAACAAAAATATATGTATCACCATAAAAACATTTTGCAATTAAAAATCAATGCATCCTAAATGGAATGTATGTACAGTACAAAGTCTGAGATCCAGACTTTGTACTGTACATGCAAATGTGATATGCGAATGTGATTTATGAAATAATGAAGCATTTATGACCTAAAGAGTATCACAATTTACCCCCCCCCAAAAAAAAAACTTAATATTTATTTGTAAAACAGTTCTTTGAATGTAAACTGTCTTAAGTTGCTTCATTCATTCATGTCTTAAGTTGTATTTTCTGGATCTTGAACCATACTACAGATTTCGCCCTCAGTTAATTGATTGATGATTGGAGCGTTGTTATTGCAATGAAAACCTTCTATTATATTGTCTTTATTTATTACCACTTCTACACATTTTGTTAAAAAATCCATTAATTGGAAAATTTAACCTTTGGTTTACATTATC